TTCAGTGTAGCACACAGTTCAACCCCTAAGAGTCCCAGCATCCAGCAGGAGCAAAGGCTGGTGCAGGAATGAAATGATGGGGGGAAGTTCAGCTGGACGGGGTTCCCCAGGTTTGGGAGAGAATGTGGGCTGCTAACCTCAGAGAATCTGGGTGGTGTCTTGCGATGGGGAAGATAGGATTAGTGGGAGCTCTTAAAACAGAGCAGTTGGCAGGAATGTGTGCATGAGTGAGTGTGTGAGGGGACCACCCCGCATGTCCCCCATGTCCGAGGAGGCAGAGGGTCTCCTCCCTGTTCACTGTGGTCTGCTGTGGGGGGCCTTAGTGCCAGAGGACAGCTGGAGGGCTATGTGTATACCCCAACCCCTCTGTCACCCCGTGTTCCTCCTGCAGCAGCCCCTCTTGGAAGGGGAGTTGTGGAGTGCCCGCCCAGCACCTGACATTTGAATGTGGCCTGGAGGCCCCAGACTCCTCTGTGGCGCATAGACGTGGGGGCAGGGTGGTGGTGGCAGCAAGCTGGTCTCTGAATTGTGCCTGGAGCTTGTCTCGTGTCTGCCTCTGACCCCTCCCATGGCTGGCTGTCCCCGTGTGCACCCTGTCACCCCCCACTTTGGCCCTAGCACTATCAATACTCTGGCCCAGCTGCTCCTTAGGCAGGGGCCTTTGCAGAGCCATGGACGGTCTCAGAATCCAGGAGCCTCTGCTCCCTGGGGCCATGGGTTCTTGGCCTGGGATCCTCAAGGAGGCCAACCCTCTGCCACCTGTAGGGTAGCACCTCTGGAGAGGATGGTACCCCCCACTCCTCTCTGCCCTTGGGAAGCCCCCACCTGATGCAGCCTTTCTGTTGCCCCAAATAAAAGTCCCTGCAGGTGAACCCTGTGGATGATTCCACTTCCCTTTCTCCCAAAAGGTTCTTCCTGCAGGGAATGTTACCATCTGGTCCATGAGTCACTGGTGAGTCAAGAATGGGGCCAGGCTGGGTGAAGGAGCACGTGGAGCCTGGTAGTTATGCCCATTAGTCCCACTGAAACAGCTTCCCAGCTGGTAGGCACTTCCACTTTGACCTGGGTGGGAAGGTCCTGGCACCTCCTTGGAGAGGCCTTATCTGACCAGCACCTTCTGTAGATCAGAGCTGGGGGGGGGCGGGTGGGAGAGGGCCTGGCGCTCACAGACTCCAGGCTGCCTGGCTGAGTTCTGGACTCCTCAGAAGATGATGTGGGTCCCACCTCCCTCTTAGGTGGCTTTATGGGAGTACAGAGAGGTGGTGCTGCTTCTCCGAACTGATGCCCTGTCCTGCTATCTGCACTAGCTCACTCGGCCCTAAACTGCTCAGAGCCTCTTGCCAGCCCCAGAAGAAGCCATAATACCCCCTCAGGGCCGCCATGGGTGCTGCTGCTCTCCTGGAACATTCTTCCTCGGGAGCCACCTGCTGCCTCATTTCCCACTTCCTATCCTGCTCCGTGACGGCCCCTTCTTGGAGAGGCTCCCTGACCACGCTGTGTGGATGAGCACCCCTCAACACCTACCCCAAACCCCTTATCCTCCTCGCTGCCCTTTATTTTTCCCATAGCGCTTGTCAGCCTCTGACCCACTACACATTGTGTCCCCTGTTAGTGCACTGTCATCGCGTCTGTCTCTGTCTGGTAGAGATTAAGTGTCACTGGGACAGGACTTTTTTCAGTTGGTTCATTGTTGAATCCCTGCACCCAGCCTGGCAGGGCTGTTCGATAAATATAGAATATAATAAATAGGGACACCCAGGTGGCTCAGTGGTTGAACATCTGCCTTTGGCTCAGGGCGTGATCCCTGGGTCCTGGGGTCAAGTCCCACATCGGGCTCCCCGCGGGGAGCCTGCTTCTCCCTCTGCCTGTGTCTCTGCCTCTTTCTATGTCTCTCATGAATAAATAAATAAAAATCTTTTTAAAAAGGGCAGCCTGGGTGGCTCAGCGGTTTAGCGCCGCCTTCAGCCCAGGGCGTGATCCTGGAGTCCCGGGATCGAGTCCTACGTCGGGCTCCCTGCATGGAGCCTGCTTCTCCCTCTGCCTGTATCTCTGCCTCTCTCTCTGTCTCTCTCTGTGTCTCTCATGAATAAATAAAATCTTTTAAAAAAATCTTAAAAAATATAATAAATATTTGAGATATACCTACATCTATAATAAAATAAAACTAGTGTGAAAATAAAGGAAAAATATCCTCGATCAGCTGCGAGGTCCAACACAAGTGACTTGCTGACGAATGATGGAAAAGTGGTTCTACTTTTTCTTTCACAAACTTGCTGTGACGGGAGGAGTTCGTTCATTCCCTTTTCCTCTTTTCATTGAACCTTATCTGCCAGCTGGCAGGAAAGGGCGTCTCATCCTCGAAGTGCCTGCCGCCCCCTCCCCACCTGCCCCACCCTCGGTTTGTGTGGATCAGATCAGCTGGGGGTCCCTGAGCCACCCCAGCCTGGGTCAGCCTGCTCACTTCTCCCTGGAGGCTCCTGGAGCCCTGGGCCCTGCCCCTGGGGCTGCCCCCTGGCTGGGGCCTTTTTGAGGCCCTGCTGTCTGCTCAGAGGGGCTGTTGGGGGGGAAGCCCCAAACCACCACAGCAGGCTTCCCAGGTGGGGCATCTTCTGCCAGCAGCCCCCATCCTGGCCCTGAGGCCATGCCTTCACCTCCTGGTTCTCAGGGAACTGGGAAGGTCTCAGCCCCTGCAGCCCATGGGGTGCTGAAGGAAGAGGAGAGAAAGCCCAGCTCCCTTCTTGGAAATGGAGACAATAAATAATTCAGTCCGCCCACAAAAGTTAAGTACTGATGTTTTCTGAATGACTTACTTCTTTTATTATTTTTTTTGCCACGTGGAGTCAACCCAAGTTCAGCCTGGAGCAGGTCAGGCATGGACGTTCTCACTGCCTGTGTCATTTGGGGGGCGAGTGGGTGAGAAGGGGGTGGTCACAGGCCCTGGGCTTCCTGTGTGGGCTCGTCTGTGGGGCAGAGGCTGAGGGAGGCTGAGCCAGGCCCCCAGGACTGAAGGCCCTTGGGTGTGCTCCCCACTGCATAATCTGGCACGGGATCCACCAGGTCGTGGGTGGCACAGTGACTGAAATGGGTGTCAGGTCTCCTCCGAGCTCCCACTGGCTGCTAGGTCACTTCTCAGACTATGCCTCGGTGTCCTGGGCTGTGACGGGTGATGCGCACTTGTCTCAGGGGCCCCAGGGATGGGGTGGGGGTCCTCAGACTGCATCTGGTCTGCACGGCATTTCCACCCTGAATTCAGGGACAGCACTTGAACAGTGGGGCTACCTGGATGCCCACAGAGGGTGCTGGGTGGGCCCCGAGGACACAGCTCAACTCCCTGATGCTTTGGTCAAGGACTCTGGGGACATCTGAGACAGCTCTTCTCGCTTGAAAGATGGGAACTGAGAGCCACGAAGTTTTGCCTAAGGTCATGCGGCTCATTAGTGGCCCGTCTGGGTTGACCAGACAGCCACTCTGACAACCACCGCTATCCCATCCCTCAGTTTAGGGGCTATTGATTATCAAGGGTTTTATTAAAAATTTGTTTCTCCTTTCATTTGTCTCTTTCACATTGAGTTTTCCTTTTTATTTTTATTTTTTTGCTGTTTTTTTTTCTTTGTTTTGACTTTGAAGATTAAACGTGCCAATTGGCGGTCTTTCATTGTCCATTCATATTTCAGGGCAAGCCAGTCTCCGGAAGGTTCATGGGAGCTCTGTGAGGTGGGCATTGTCTCAGGACAGTGGTTCTCAGCTAGGGGTTTGGCCTCCCAGGAGGGACACTTGGCAACATCTGGAGACGTTTTTGATCATCCCAACAGGAGGATAGGAGATGAGGTGCTCCTGGCATGTAGAGGGTAGAGACCGGTGGAGCAGGGGGTGCAGCTCTGCACCACACAATGCACAGTTCAACCCCACAACCCAGACTGATCCAGCCCCAAATGTCAGCAGCGCCTGGTGGAGAAACCCTGTGCTAGGACAATGGGGCGACATAGCCCTCTTCCTAACCCCCCAACCTTTGTTTTCTTTTGACTTGGTCTGGTTTCCTCCCCATCCCACCTTTGCCACCTAAGGGGGGTAGGGTGTGGGGTGGGTGGGTTTCACATTAGGTCTCCGGGTATGACAGAAACTACAGAGCTTCTAGGGATCAGCTCCCTGGAGCGCAGCCTCGCGCCACATGTGGGGTGGGCCGGCTGAGGGCCCACATGGCATGGGCTTGAGGGGGCCTGCATGGGCGAGTATGTGGGGGGTTGTCCAGCTGCTCCTCCTACAAACCTAAAGCTGTCCTCCCACATTCAGCCCCACTTTGCATTCCTACCCTCAGTGGCCCCGGCCCCCTGATTCCAGAGCCTTCTTGGGTGGTGCTCAGGGCATAGATTGGCTCTCTGTAAACCCAACTGGGTCCCACTCTCTCGGGTCTAGGGGAGTGAATTGCCCACGTGTTTTTCATCCCCCACGGCTCTGTCCCTGGCCCGTCTATCGCCTCCTCTCCATGCTCACATCCTTCTCTATTCCTTTGCTGTCCTTGCATCCAGGTACGGGGCGGGAGCAAGGCTAACCCTGTGTGTTGAGTTCCTCATCTTCAACCAGGACGTACACATATGTATCCTTGTGCCCTGGCGGCCAGTTTCATGAAGGGCTCTGTGGGTGCGTGGCCCCTGGGAGGGCAGGGTGCTGGCAGCCCCCCACCACGCCCCCACCAGGATAAGTCTCTAGCGGGGGGCGGGGGTGGTGGCCACGTAGGTGGTAGCAGAGCTCTACGGCCTTGACCTTGCTAAGCCTCAGTGTCCCCGGGTTCATAGCTCTGCTGGGCGGGGCGGAAGAAGGGGATGGATGTAAGCGAGGGGAGAATGCGGTGGGGGCTGTGGTTCATGATGGCCCCCCGCCGGATGAGGGTGAGGTCAGCATGAGGGTCTCATGCCTGATGACGATGACAGAGAGGTTCGGCGGTACATGGGTGGAAGGCAGTGTGTGGGCCTTGAGTACCGACTGCCTCGTTTTCTCGCCAGAGGCCCTCACTTTGGTTGGCAGAGTGGTGACCAGCTGGCCAATTGGACGGGGCTCCCTAATGTCACGGACGACCCAGCAGTGCAGAGCGGCAGTGACTCCAGCTCCAGGTACAGATGGCGGTGGCAGGTGACCGGGGAGGGGGGCGGCCCGTCCTGGGGTGACCTCGTAGCCCCTGACCCAGGGGCCACCCCCAGAGCTACTACCCTCAGGGAAGAAGCAGGCTCAGCACCAGGGCTTGAAGCTCACATCTCCTGTGACAGGAGGGTGAGGGCTAGGACCCAAGCATGACAAGTAGGGACTCCGTGGCCTCTCTCTGTGAGTGGGCGAGCGGGGAGGGGTGCGGAGGGGTGCTGGCAGCTCTCAGGCTTCCATCCGAGGTGCAGGCTCCCGCTCCATCCCTGCTGCAAGGATTTGGGATGTCAGCCCACAGATGTGTGTAGGTTTGCACATGGGGGCATCAGGGTGGGGGTAGGCCGTGGGGTCTACTCCCCTGGTACCCACCCCACCGTGCACATAGTTCCTACTCTGCCCCCTGGGCCAGGTGACCTCAGCGTGGGGAGAACCGTTCCCATCAGGATGGGGCCGAGACTTGACCTTCATGCCATTGCATGGTTACCTCTTGCCCTACCGGCGTGTTTGGAGCTTGATCAGTAATAGGGGCCTCCATGTGCCCAGGAGCCCAGTGTTTGTGGAATGCATGAAAATGTAGTGTCCTGGGGAGGGGAGGGGGGTGGAATGCTTTCTCCAGGTGTGGCTGGAACTTGCCAGCTAAGGGTTTCCAGGGGCCAATTCAGTTTTTTGGTCCCTTGATTCTGCTAAGCACATGCGCTGACGCTCAGGTCCGTTTCGCTGGGAAAGAGACCTGAGTTTTTGCTTTTGTCAGTTTTGACACCAAAACATGGAATTGACCCTGTAGAGGAGAAGTTCATGTATTTTTTCAGGGATCCTCAATATGTATGATTCTGTTCAGTGCTTTTAAAAGTAAACATGTGGGGATCCCTGGGTGGCGCAGCGGTTTGGCGCCTGCCTTTGGCCCAGGGTGCAATCCTGGAGGCCCCGGATCGGATCCCACGTCGGGCTCCCGGTGCATGGAGCCTGCTTCTCCCTCTGCCTGTGTCTCTGCCTCTCTCTCTGTGTGTGTGTGTGTGACTATCATAAATAAATAAAAATAAAAAAAATAAATAAATAAAAGTAAACATGTGCTTCCAATGTCAGAAAAATGTCAGCAGAGGGGGTCAGAGGGTGTTGGGCAGTGTTCCCACCATACAGACCTCAGGGTGCGAGCCAGCTTCAGGGATCCAGATTTTCTTCTGGCTGGTTCGTTCCATATATGTGTGGTGGGGGCTCTGGCCAACCACTGGACCCCTGGGAAGTCACCCAGTGAGAGCAGGCGTCCAGAGTTGTCCCTTCCAAGCATCTCACGTCCAGATGGGGGGTGGTCTCTAGGTAAGGTCTCAGGTGTCTGCCTTCCTGGGGAGGACTCTTTGAAGAGCTAACTGGGAGGGCTGGCTAGAGGGTGCCAATCAGCAGAGCAAGATCGGACAGGCCCCTGGGGGAGACACCAGCCAGAGCTGTGCTTGCACCTTGTCCTGTGGCCCGTGGTCTTTCTCTCTCCTCCTCTCTCTCTCTCTCTCTCTCTCTCTCTCTTTTTTAAGATTTTATTTATTTATTCATGAGAGACACACAGAGAGGCAGAGACACAGGCAGAGCGGGCTCCCTGCAGGGAGCCCAATGTGAGACTCCATCCAAGATGGGGATCACGCCCTGAGCGGAAGGCCGACACTCAACCACTGAGCTACCCAGGTGCCCCTCTGCTCCTCTCTCTCAGGCTGCTGACTTCTCTGCCTCTCTGCCCAACCTCTTCTCCCCAGTCTTTCTTACTGCCACCCTTTCTTGCTCCCTGTCTCCTGCCTCTCTCCCACCTCCTTTCTTCACTAATCCCTCCTTCACTTTGCCTCCCTCCTCCCCTCCCCCAGTGACCGAGGACAGCTCCCCCCATGCTTCCCTGTCACACACCCCCCATGCTTCCCTGTCACCCAGGGCCAGAGCCACCACTGGCCTCTACACATTTGGCTTTAGCACGAAGGCACCCTTTATCCAGTGTGCTCCCCAGCTCAGTTGATTTGCTTCTGGAGAGCCACCACTGGACCCTTGAGCCCCCCTTAGCTAGTCACCGAACAAATGTGATGAGCGCATATCCCAACTTCTGGGGTGGTTCCAATATCAGATGGCAATTTCTGGTTGACCCCCACCTCCCCCTGCCCCCATACCCATGTTACTATCATGTATGTGGGAAACCATAAAATGTATGGTTCCCATGTGTGGAAAATAATGGCTAATGTAATTAGAACTGAACTGTATGTTGGAGATTTTTTGTTTTTTAAAATTAATTAATTAGTTTATTTATATATATATTTTAACCTCAGTGTAGCAGTAGTTCCTGCCATCTTTCTAATGGGTAGGATAGCTCCTGGCAGCGCATTTGCAGGGCTCGGGCAGGATCGAATGCTGCTGTGGGATTTGCTCTTCAGGATAAAAGCAAAGCATCTCAGGGAACAGCTCTCCATGCCAGAAATGTGGGATGTACTTTGTGGTATCATTCAGCTACTGAAAAATGCAGTGCATGCCCTATTTTGTGATCTATAGTTGTAAGATGTGTCGCAGTGAGGTAAAGTATGTTATTTATTATCAACACAGTTGGAAGGGAAGTTGAGAAGTGCCGTATAGAACCAGAGGATAAAGAAAGGCAGGAAAAGCAGATGACTGATCAGTTGTATATTCAAACAGGAGCTGCAGGAGAAAGGGCAGGTCCAAGTGATTGGTCTGGAAAACTCTAAATAAGACCACAAAGAACATGCAGGCCAGACAGTGCTCATAATGGCTGCGGTCAGGTCTTCTCATTGGACATGAGTTAGGGGATGTCCAGACCTGATTGGAAAGTGTGCAAGTGATAAAGTATACATCGACATACAGGTTTATTAATTTCAAGTGCAGGCCTAACGGTGTCCAGTTAGAGTCCTTAGGGGAACTGTCTCAGTGAGAAGATCAGAATCATTTTTAATTGGCAAATGCTGCTATTGAAGCGGGTGCTTTGAACAACCGGGAAGATCTCGGAAGATAGCTCTCATCCGGGTATGTGTTCGAGTTATGTGTATAATGCTTCCACTTCCCCCACTAGGCGGTGGTCCTGCTCCTGGTCCTTTGAACCCCTCAGCACCCAGTCTGGCAGCTAGAGTGAAGGGGCCCAGTTGATGTTAATGGAATAGAAGAATGATGCAAGCAGGCGCATAGTAGAGGCTGCTGGTACAAAAGCAGACCTACATGTCGGCATTCCAGGATTCTCCCTTAGAGATGTCTTCCTTTGAATGAATCTGTCTCTGACACAGTCTTTGAAAATTAATCCCGGAGGGCAGACACTTTGAATAATAAACCCCTTCAGAGTTTGGAATGATCGGAGAACGTTCTCTTGAGAAGAGCAGGTTACTACCTACCCTACTGGACCATCTGGGCCTTCTGGGCGGCTGGGTGGGGGAGGGGAGCCTGTAGGAAGGGGAGGGGGCTGGCTCAGAAGGAGGGAGAGAGCAGTGAGAGCAGTTCATATACTTCTGCAGTAAGTGCCCGAGAAGCCCTCCCAGACACCTCCCACAGGGCATCGTTCCAGTTGTGGAATGGTAGATGACCGGGTGGGGAGGGCTCTCGTCCTCCAGTCCTCCAGAGCCAGCCTGCTGCCTCCCCACTGCCCTCTGGCCAGGCCCCACTGCCTTCCCAGGGACTGGCCAGAGGGCAGGGGGGCGGCAGCGGCACCCTTGGTGGTTGAGGTCCCGCAAGGTGGGCAGTGGGGCAGCCGCTGGCTCAGCCTGTCCCAGGGAAAGGACCAAGTGTGAGAGGCAGAGGGCAGCTGGGGCCAGGAGCCCGCTGGGTGCTGACTCTGAGCCAGGCCTGCACCACAGCACAAAGGGCTTTGCTCAGCTTCTCCCACCAGGACCCTGCTCCACATCAAGTGCTTATCATCCTGCCAGGGTCCACCTCCCACTCCTCCTCCTCCTTGAAGCCTTTCTGGAGAGCCCCTTTCACTGTACCTTCTGTAAGAAGCTTCTACACGGGGGGGCTGTTTCTGTCGTTTCACACGCAGACTGTTCTCCAGCAAGTGCATGTGAACTTCTTGGTGTTCGCTCAGGCATTTCCCAGATCCTGAGAACCGACCTGGACCACCTGAGCTTGCATCTCCAGGGCCCTCCAGAACCTCCAGTTCCAGACGCAGCCCACCAGCAGCCTGGCTGGTCGGCCTCGCCGGCCCCTCGCCCAAATTCTGCACAGCCTTCACCCTCCCGGGCTGCCCGTTCCTCCCCACCCGTTCCTGGGATAGCATTCTCCGTGCGTGGCTGGGCTTCCAGGTTAGGGCACAAGGGACTTCCCAGGTGGGAGGGTGGCACGGCCACGGGAGAAAAGAGCAAGCCCCAAATTGATGATTTGAGAGACTCTGCTTCACTGAAGACTGAGATGGGTGCATGTCTAGGGCCTGGGCCGGAGCCCCTCACTCTGGGGGGAGGCCTGGGTGTGTGTCTAGCAGGTGCTGTGCAATGTGGGGGTTGGGGTGGTCATATTTCAGAGCTGGAATTCAGTTTAGCATTTCGTTACGGTGTGTTCAGGTGTTCCCTAATTGTTTCATGACGGTGAATAATTAAGTAATAAATCGCATGGCACAGGCAACGAGCGTGCCGGGAGCTCTGCGTGGAGGTCTGAGGTACTTTGGGGGAGGGGCAGGCCTTGGCTGGCATCTCAGCAGGCGGCGCCCCTGGCCAAGTGCTGTGAGGCCTGTGTGCCAGACACGGTGCCGGGCACCCGCACCTGCTCCTGCACGTCATCCTCACCCTCCAGTGCTTGAGGTCATTGCCCTCATTTTCCAGGTGAGGAAACTGAGTCACCACTCAGAGGTGGTGGATGCTGGAGCCAGCACAAACTGCATCCCGTGTGACTCCAGGGTCCCAGGGCTGAGAGGCCATGCTAGACAGAGGGATCCTTCTTCCTGGGCTGTGCACAGGCCAACTGGGTAGGGTTGGGGGTTCTGCTCCATGTCTAGGGTCTCTCATCCCCCCATCCCCCCATC